TCCAGGGACTCCGGTCAGGCTGAGACTGACCCTGGACCAGCTCAGCTTCCAGAGTAACTGAGCTTGAACTAAGTTGGAAGTGAAACAGCCCGACAGTAAGCCTGCCTACGTTTTATATCGCTGACTTATTTGGTAATCTCAAGAAATATTATTTTATTTATTTTTTTACTATAAATGTCGTACAAATGTACAAACGGTTCCAAATCTGAGCTCTGTCTCCTGGATTCCTACTAATCAGTGTCCTCTGTGCTCCGGTGGTTTCAACATTGTATTTGATGCATCTGCAGCTCCTCATGGGCTCCAAGAAGACGCACGACATGATGCTCATTCCACGACAGAACGGTGCTGATGCTCTCTGAAGGGCAACTGGCCAACATTACCTGCACATGTCCTGCTGTCCCAGTACAAACGAGACAAACTTCAGTTTGCCAACTATGACATTCAATCCCTGACCACTGACTGTCATCCAGCTGCATCCAATGAACAATTCGGCTCATGTAAAATAAGGACAATACTACATTTCACTTTAATCCTATAAAAATGATGTGTTTTCCTGACTGGCCTGCTGACTAGAGTACGCTGTGTATGAGTTCATACTGCTGCTTACGGCATTTATCTAAGTAGCAGTGTTATTTAAAAAAAAATGTTATTGAGAGTTTCACCAATACTAGCAACTTAACATTGGAGTATATTTTGTCTTCCACTACTTCAGGTTTGGTCACTGATGTCATCAGTCTTAACCTAGAAACCTACATCGACCTGATTGGACCGTTTCCGGGACACAAAGGCTCTATGGCTAAACCACAACCATCTCTCTCAGCAACGCAGCAGGAATGCATACATCTTTTTTAAAATAGTAGAATAGAAAATAGATTTATGTGTCAAGTTCAAGTGAGAGCCTGGAAAACCAGCAAAGGCAGGGAGGGGTCTGAACACTGTAGCCGACACTGTGCACAAGCAGCATCAACATCTCCGGCTTGTTTACACCAAACAGCAGATATGAGCAGAGACCTGCTGACCTGAAGTTCTGAAACTATGTGACTGCTCTGCTACGTTTCCCCGTCTTTGACACGCTGGAAACAAAACCACTTCTGGCGACAGCTCCTTGTCAGCCGGTGGTATTTAGTCCTAAATGTACTTTTTAAAGTCTATGAGGTGTGTCAGGAAAGTTCTAGGTCTATTCCAAACTAGGAGTTCTTCCCTTCAGACCATCAACCAGCATGTCTACAGAGAGATGCTGCAGCGTTTGCTTCATCCAGAAGAGGACCAGTGGAGGCTGCGTCACCATGACAACCTGCTCACAGCGCCCTGAGCATCCCACAGCTCCTGCTGAGAAGAACATCTCCTCCCTACTCACCCCACCTGGCTCCGTGGGGTTGGTTCCTCCTCCCCAAGCTCAAGGGCTCATCAAGGAGACCCGTTATGAAGACGTGGACGACATCAAGATGGCTGTGAGGACGGAGCTGAGAGGATCCTAGGAGGGTGGTAGACTCCAGGAGGGTTACTGGGAGGAGGAACACTGGTAGTTTGGAGTTTGGGTTTGAAATCTGCCTTTTGTGACACCAGTCCTGGAACATCTCTGACACACCTGGTATGTCTGGGCAGCAGATGTTGGTGGTCCTTCCTTTCTTGTTAATCATGTGATGAGCAGTCAGATTTATCCCACAGGTCCTTGGAGGATCCTGACCCCAACTGTTGTAAAGGTACGACAAAGACCTTTTCAAATGTGATCTTATGATTAACTGCAAGTCATATTGGACAGGTTCATGCTACTGTGTCTCAGTACGACAACCAGTGTCGGTGATCAATGTCCTGTGTGTCCTGAGCTTCCTTTCAACAGCCTGTCTGGCCTTTCGAAGCCTGACAGTATGTGAATCAGAAGCTCTACACCAGAGTGTGACGTCAGTAAGCTCATCCAGACTGGTGACACAGCACCAGCCTGGCTCCTGGTTGGTCACATCTCTCAGTGATATCTTAAAGTGGCAGACCTGACTGTCTGACTCACTGAGCGATGTTCAAAAGCAGCCATTAAAACGGAGGACTCACATGGGCAGATACACACAACAGACAAACAGGACGACACACCCTCCCTGTATCTCTGTCATCACGCTGACCGTGATTGAGTGTGACAGTGCCGCGTCTTGACCGTGGCAATGCTATAATTATCTGTGATGTCTGCTGGTGCAATCGGAGACGGGGGCCGGCGGCATCCACACATCACTGGAGCACGAGCCCTGTGGCCAGCACGGCACATACCGGGCCACAAATAACCACAAGGAGAGAGAGCAGAGGTCAGGAAGATCAACAGCCAGAAACTCCATAGGAATGGATAAACAGGAGGAAAACGTCATTTAGCTGTCTTTAACCGGTTTGCTATTCATGCAAATGCTCACAAACAGACAGTGAACGTTTTTGTTCAACTCTGATAAAAGTTGAATTAATTAAGCAACAAATCTACTTAAGAAATGATGTCATCAAGATGCTGACAATAAAAATTACGTGTGACCATTTTCCTTTCACAGCTGTGTTAACAGTGTCTCTTTATGTGTGAGCCCAGGGTCAGCCAGGGTGGACCCTAACCCGAACCCTAACCCTTACCAGGGTGGACCCTAACCATAACATTCACCTAAGCCTAGCCTAACCCTAACCCAAACTCGAACCCTAACAGGTCTCACAATTGAACATTTCAGTGTCACCGTCACATCTAGTTTTCATTGTACCAGGTCAAAACTTGTGCCGCTTTTGCTTTTAGGTCAAGTCTTCAGAGGGTCTCAAGCAAGTCAGCTAGCAGCTCTTCATCTTGATGACCCAAGTCTGGCCAAGCTTCAGGGCTTTACCTCCAGTTATAGAGAAAGAGAAAACAACAACGGAAAAGACCAAAGAGGGATAAAAATGGATAAATGGCAAATAGGAAAGACAACTGTCCAAAAAGGTGTCTTGCTGCATTGTTATATAAAACTAAATGCTAACTTCGATCAAGTTGACAGTAGCAGAGAGAGGAAGGGAGAATTATTCCGTGAGGAACAGATGAGCGCTGGGAGAGCGGCATGGAGGCGCTGAGCGATACGGCAGCTGGACCATGTGTGCAGCTCAGACTGTGAGAGCTGCTGACATGTGAGCTCAACTGTCAACTTTCTCCCCCGGCCAACAGAACGATGATCCAATGTACCGGCACTACAATGATCTCACTGCCAGCTACGGCCGGCTACTTTACACAAGGACTCCAATGGATGATGCAAACTGTTTGGGAGTATTTATACCTCCCAGTGTGATGTTAATGTCCTTGGTATATACAATTCAGTGCTGTGGTTTTATCCCATTGACAGGCCTGCTTTAAAATTCACTTTTAAAATCATTTCTGCCGACTGCTTGTTGGGCCCTTCAAACAGAAAAGTGCCACTTCAAAGATTGTGAGCGTTTCGAGCAGCTGCGGTTATGCAGATGGCGTGACATGTTCACGCACTGAAGTGAATATTTGCAGTATGTCTCCTCGGCAAACCGTGCCTTAAGAAACAGAGCATGTATGTGCACATACCAGGGCTCAGACTCAATTTAGTGACTGGGACATGGAAAGAAAAAGTCACAGATGCTTCACTGACGAACGCTGTCCTTATAGCCAGAGGTGACAAGACACGCTAGGAAACTATACAGTCCATTCAAAGCCATCATACTTGACCTGTCCTTCAGCAGGACACTGAAGCAGACCAGGAGACCGTTACGCTTCCAACTGGCAAGTTTACTTCATAACCTCCAGCAGAAGGACTGCTTTACAGTGCTCCAGATAACGGGGTTTAAGGGTGAGAGGAGGGCTCAGTGATCTGAAAGATATGTCAGGAAGACCTGTGTTCAAAGTTCTTCAAAAACTTAATTCGTATCTTGCATGTGTTGCTGTGTGAATGTGTGCTGACAGACCAGCAATCCTGAGCAGAACGCTCTCCAAGTATTCTAAACGTGGACGTCTGAGAGAGCTGCAACAGCAGCAATGTCTTTACAGGCTGATGTAGTGTACAGTCTAATCGTGGTCTCACTCTGACGCTCATTTGATTTGAATCAAAATATTCATGAAAAAAAACAGCCCCGACCTCATTATTAATCCGTTTAAAATTAGGAGTTCTATCTTAAAATGTTCATTTTCATCAGGAGCTTGATGAACTTTTGCTATTCCTCCAACATGGAAACAGAACCACGTTCCAGAGTCCACATAGTGATGGTCCAGGACCGCCCATCTCACACAAGAACAGGAAAGTTCTGGGAGAATATTTACCTCATTGTCTGTGTGTTGCTGCTTTTAACGATAGCAAAACAGCCTGAAACCCAGAAGCTGGTGTCTCTGTGCCTGTTGGTGGCGTTATTATATCACTGCTGATACGACGACATTACTAAATCATGTGCAGCTGGAGACGGTCTAAGAGGAAACTTTTTCCAGACAAATGGGAATTTCCTAATTTTCCTGAAGCTAGATGCAACACATCCGTAGAGAAGAAATGTTCTTGCCATGTGCCCAAACTCGAACTTACGCAGTTCAGCAAACAGCCCAACGTTGAGCTGTGCAGCTGAGAGACGCAGCAGCAGGTGACACTCTTCCCGCTCCAACAGATCCAAGTCTCTATTTACAACCACAAGCTAATTCTAAGTGTTTCCCGCTGCTGCTCCACGGAGATAAAAGACAGGAGCACCAATCGCTGTTCAAAACCCAATCTCTGATCGACGGTTGTTTGGTGGCTTTCAGAGATTGAGATAATATCTTGTGAAAATAAATCTTAATTTTAAAAAGACAAAATGTTGAGCATTGATGGAAATGGTTTTAGCAGACTGTAGGATATTATCTAGAAATATACTGGAGTGAATGAATGGTACGATGGAAACACAAAAGTAGCTCCATTTGAGGACTTTAAGTCTTAAAGAATCAGTTGAAAAGAAAATATATATATGAAGCTTTAGCTGTCAGTCCTTACATTTTCTTGAACAGAAACACCTCAGTGTGGGTTGCTAGTGATTACCTTCACCAAGGTCCATAACCGCCAAGACAGCGCTGCAGTCTGCCGCTCCCAGTTCGTTGGTCGCCATGCAGGTATACAAGCCAGCATCACTGGTGCGGCAGTCCCGTATCCACAGGCCCCCCGAGTCCTGGTCTTCTGATGGAGGAAGTAGCTTGTTGTTGTGGTACCAGGTCAGCGAAGGTTTTGGATGTCCAGACACCGACACCCTCAGTCGGATATCACATCCTGTTCCTACAGCTGCTTTACGGAGTTTACGGATGAAAACTGGCGCTGTGGGTTCTTGCATTTCATCCCCATTGTCTGGAGCAGCTCGATCACTGGTAGCTTTGGCCCTCTTGGAGGGGATGGTGAGACAGGGACTGGACCTAGAGCCTTCTGCCATCTTGACTTCTTCCAGACTTCTTCGTAAACTGCGTCTTGTATGTGGCAATTGGTTGCCGTATCAATCGCTGAATGCTTCTTCAGAAAGACTCCATTGGTTCAGAGGTGTTTAGGCTCACAGGGACGTCAGACGATGTTGGACCTGGGCGGTTGCAGAGGGTACTGAAATGACCAGAGTTCATCGATCAGAATCATATCACAGCTATCTACAGACTGCATTTTGGCAAAAGACACCATCAATAACACTTTATGACACCAAAAAACTTGAAAACAAGCCAAGGTTACCATTACTGGGGTGGTCTTCTAATGTTTCTTTGTCAGCCACCTTGCTGTAATGACCTGGGTCTATGGGCCAGAGACTGGAGATTACATAGATTTTAAAGGCTGGGCCAGTTGAACTTAAGACTATCGAGTCGCATCATGCAGTTCTGCAGCGCTAAAATCTAAATTTCTCAAAAAATCCAAAATAAAAATTTCCCTGTCCTCTGAATGTATTTATTACCTTCACATTTCTGCAGCACTCTTTTACAAAGCAACAAGTGTCCTGCTTCATGCTGCAGACTTCCTGTAGGGGCTGTTTAATACTATCCTTTCCCTCAATTCTGCACCCACGATGGAAAAGTGACGACTCATACAGAGAGGAAAAAGCCAAGGTACGATTTCCAGGAAGACGATGTGTCCTGACGCCGGTGTATTCAGATGTGTTACACTGAGAACAATAGTTCAGAAAGTTTAGAAGCATTTGATGTTGGGTTATAAAAGCATGCCAGAGGTTGTAGGATGGCCATGAGACAGACCTCCCCTCCCTCTCCTACCCACATTTAACTTGGACGGCCTCTTTAATTATAGGACTTCCCTGCAGGTACAAAAAAAGTACAACTGGTGTGTCTTTGTCCTACGGATAGACGCATACATTCTGATTTAGTTTTTGTAGGACAGCAAATTCATTTGTTCTTTAAGCAATCATCATTGTAACAGGTATTGAAAGAGACTATAATTAGAACGCTGTAATTACTCATCATAACGAATATGCATTTATTTGATATTCATGATATTCCACTAAAACGCTGATTCATGGAGTTGCCTGAAATAGACTTCAACTGATAATAGAAAGAAATGCAACTTACCTCACTTTTGCCAACAAAGCTGAAAGGAATCCCTCTGGACATCCCCGCAAAGTCCACGTTAAGGAAACAAGATCCATGGAGCAAAATATTTCATCTCAAATCATTTGCTACAGCCAGTGTCTCTGCATGTCCTCTAGCGAGCTCAGCTGTAGGTGTAAGTCCAGCCGAGATCATGTAGCATTAGCAGCTACTGCCATGGTCCCTTCCAGCAGCTCCAACCCCCGCTGAAGAGCACTGAGGCACACAGATCCTGTTCCTAAATGTCAAACTGGACTCGTGTGTTTCCACCAACAACCTTTGAGTGCTTCTTAAAAAAACGACACTTTTAACCTTTTTCGGCCTCCAAGTACTTAAAGCAGCTCCTGTTCTCTGGCTGCCCCGGCGGTGCCTCACCCCACCACCTCACCCCGGTGCCTCACCCCACCACCTCACCCACCACCTCAGTCTGGACAGCGACAGCTGCACCGTCACTGATAGGTCACAGTTGTTGGGCTGCCATGTGTGACTGATTCTCACACACAGACACACTCCAAGCTTTCAGATAACACTATCAACCAAAATGTGTGTCTCTGAATGTGTCTGCGTGACAAAGGCAGTGACAGCATGTGTGTGACAGTTGAAGCTGCTATAAAAAGAAAGTCTAAGAATGCAGACAGGACTGGACCTGATAGTGGAGCTGTAGGGCAGCATCACTGGTTGGAACATGTTGAAGATCTTATACACACATTTTGATATGTTTCATAAAACAAATATCTCGTGGGGCACGTGTGCAGTCCACACAGATGTACAACAACATCTTTAATGTGCAGGAAACACGAGTGAAACAAGCAGCCGATAGCACGACTGAGCACTTCCACCATTAAACTGCAGCGCACCAGTGAGTTGAACTGGGAAGGGAATGGAGGAAGGGGAGGAGGAGGAAGTGGATGGGAAGTGAGAAGGAAACTACACTGGGAAAAGGAAGAAACAGTGACCTCTGGGGGACCACACAAGGACTGCACACTGGGAAGGTGGACAGGGAATACACAGCTACAGACGCCTGTGAGGAAGGATGTTCTCAGGTCACTAAGGCTGGACTCCATCTTGAGAACATATTTGTGGAGGAACCAACCAGACCCAGGTAGCACAGGTCCAGGAACGTCTTCACTAGAAGTCACAATATAACAGACCAGCGTTACGATTACTGACCACTGCGGTCCCTGCAGTGACCTGTCCACCCTGTTGGCAGCCATCAGACACTGTTTGGAGGTTCAGACTTTTGCAGATGAGAAGAGAAGCTCTGATCCTCTTCATCTTCACACCAGCAGATCACTTTAGGATCAGAGTGTTTCCTTCACACGCTGCATGACATAGTGGCAGCAGATAAATCCAGCCAGGGTCTAAAAACACCACAGTGCTGTGTTACTGCAGCATTCACAGGCGTACTGCTCACACAACGCTGTGATGCACTTCAGTGTTGATCACATTAATCAGAAACGGCAGACTTTTCCTAGCTAACTAAATGCTCAATATTTGTTTTCCCTCTCAGTAATAATCAGATCCATTTTGGCCGTGTGTCATCGGTCAGGCTGACTGGAGGGGCTATTCAACTTGATTTAAATTGTCTTCATTAATAATCCAGTTGTTCATTAAATCAATGTCCATAAAACAGGACAGAACATGTCTGGACTCGGCAGAGCAAAGGTGACTGTCTGACTTGTGGAAACGTCTTTAGAGTGAAGCCCAGGAGCTGGATTCAGCGACATGTGCCAAACCCAAACCCGTTCTGTATGTGGAGCTGAACTGATGGACGACTGAGCTTGAAAGGGACTCGGTGAGCTTCAGATCACTAAGTTTATTCTCCTTGTGGCAGGTTTGACTTTAAGGACTCGTTGCTGTGGCGACAGGCCCTGAAAGATCCTCAGTTCACACACAGTCTCAGAATATTCTAGTTGATGAAATAAAGAACCAATGAAATCTGCTGAAACCAAGTTTCAACAACATGGCCAGTGTCTGAGACAATATGACAAGTACAGGATAATCAGCAGGTTTTACAGATGCCACAGTACGAGATATGCCCGATGCAGTTAACCCGTCCAGCCCTGCAGCCCGCTGTACCGGTCCACCGCTTTGATCCCGTCCAGCCCTGCGACCCTCCTCCCCCCCGGCCGGGACATGCAGCAGTCACATGGTGTCACTGTTCTGCACTATATGGTTTAGAATGAAGGATTCCTGTCTGGTCTCCTCACTGATGCTCATCTGCAACAGTCTGAGTAAAGACAGTCAACAATCCAGCCTGTGATAATCATACGATCTGCCTTCCAGGATGCACTCTACCGTTGTCCGTCTCTCATCAACACAACACATTTAGCTTGCACATGGACGCAACTTGTGGCTGGGGTGACAAACTTAATGAAAAATAAATAAATCATGCTGTTGGCATTCAGATTAAAACAGTGCAGGACATTCACACAGTGTTTAAGAACCATGATGTCCAGCCTTGTGAGCCCCAAAACCAAAGTAGTGCCTTTGAATTCAGTAACACCTAAAAAACTAAAAGAAAAACAAGTCTTTTTAAAAATTCTTTCTTATCCTGTTAATAATCCCTCAGTCCTGAGTGTTACCTGCTTGAGGTGCCAGTCCCTGTTCAGCTCTTTGTTGAGTGCTGCAGCACAGCTCTATAATGGGACGTGTCCTGCTGTAAACACTGAACTGAAATGTTAGTTTACCCTTTTGTTGTGAGCATTATATAAAATACCTTGACTGGGAACACGTCTTGTCCAGCGCCCACATACAGGACGGCGTGAACGCTCGGCTGCCAAGGTCTCAGACGGAGGGCCTTCTCGGATGCACCCGGCTGGTGGAAGATAGCTCTGCTACTGTGTGAGGATTCCAGCTGCTACAATCGAAGGATAGACGATGGCTTTACTCTCTATTTCTTCCCTTAAAGTGGCATTTAAAGCTATAGTCTCAGGGATGAACAAGTGGTATCCCTGAAACACTGTACCGACTATACTATACCAGTGAGGACCCGGCCGGAGTGGAGCCACTCTGGCAGCCTGACAGAGAACAGCTGGCGTGGCAGGTATGGCATCCAGGGGACAGGTGGAGGATCTTTCATGATGGATTCAGACTGAGCAGATCGACAGGAGAAGACAGACTGGAGGCCTGAACCGGGTGCAGACGGGGCAGTGGCGTGGGCCCGGTCCTGAGGCGAGGGAGACCCAGAGGTTAGGATCACAGAAGTCACATGAGCCGACCAGACCAGGGGCCTGGGCTACACGAACACTGGTCGTCTCCGGTCCGGCGTCCAGCAGTGGTCTGGATGTGGCTTTGATTGGAGATGCTGATGGGTTGCAGGTAGCCCACTGCCCGCCGTAGGTGTGTTCACTCAGGTGATTATCCAATAGGCTGCACCTGCCTGCGTACCACGCACACGCCTAACTCACAGCCACCTGAGGAACAAGAAAAGAGAGAAGGGAGGGGGAAGGAGAGGCTGCCACTGAGCAGGGCTGGAGGGGGAGGGCCTGACAGGTATCGTAGGAAATAGTCAAACACCTGGTCGAGTCCACACAGGAGCAACAAAGCTGCACTCGTTTATCGTGGACACCAGATTTATCGAAAGTCGTGAACTCTGATTGCTCTGAGCTCCAGTTCTTTACCTGCTCAGCCCTGAGCTCAATGACATCCCATAATAACCAGAGTTTATCTGCAACCACAAGGTCTGTTTGAATGATTCTTGTGTCATAATCAAAGGAACACTAGTAAGATGCGTTCAGGTGTGTAAATATCAGTTTATATGTTCCTGGTTCACAGTAAATGCAGACGGCACACAGCACAGAGGAAACATTTTCAGGATGATGATGATGTTTGTACTGATCCAGCTGCAGCTCTGAACCTCTCCCAGATCACAGACAACATGTGAACATTGTGACTCTGATCAAGTGAAGCAGAACAACATCAGAGAGTTTTTAGTCCAGACGGTTCAGGCGAGCTCTCATTCTGGCTCACTGGTGACCATCTGAATGTTCTCATGTACAAACTATATATTCCACTAGTATATCACTGATGGGGTTCAATACATCCACATACAGCAGCTCTTTAGTTTCCTGAACATCCAACCAGACCGCTGTCTGTGTTCCGCGTCCTGATGCTGCTCAGACTGCTGTGGAGCTCCTGTGGTGACATAAGGCTGTATCTCCGTCATGATTGGTCGGTTTCAGTGATTGACACCGCCTTCGAATCGTGACAGCCAATAGAATGTAGTGACAGCCACCAACATGAGATTGATAGCACTGTTAGCCAATCAGAACCAGCAGTGTTCCCTCCTTAGCTCCCTGAGGCTAACGGAGCCTCCAGAAGACGCCCGGAATGATTTCAGTGTAACACATGAAGTAGTACGAACTGATTCTGGTGTGGATTTACCGAGACAACTACGTTTTCACAGCAGAACAGCTACGGTAAGAGACATTTTTAGTGATGACCACATGAAGCTTTCTGAAGCTAAAGCTTGTATCCAGAAAGGCTTCATGACTCGAAGCTTTTCAACAGTCCTCTTTGGTGGCATCTGGTGGCCAAAAGTATGAAGGGCAGCTTGAATCTCCAACTAGAAATGGGTTCAAGGTCTTTTCATTTGTACACGGTGTAACAGGGAAATGAACTGCTTCCTTCTGGTGGGCGCGACACAGCTTCTGTTTAATGTCATGTTACAGTTCTGTCTGAAACGGGCCAATCGTGGTGCTGAGGTGAAAAAATAATGTAATGTTGATTTGATGAAGAAATCATTTTGATCAAGAAACGTGAGTTTAAATGGTGTGGTCTCCCTTTGCTTGTGACTTCCTCACATTTCTAAACATGATTTTTTTTTTTAAAACATCATATATATTAATGTACAACACAATCTTATCATAACTTGCTTGTGCTGTGAGGTCCCTGCCTATATGTATATCGATCTATATCTGTATACATCTATACATGGGATAGGCGCCAGCGGCCGCAGTGAGGATTAAGGTGTGAATACATAATGGATGGATTTGGTTTTCTGCTTTCATTCCTCCTCTCTGACAGAAAACTGAATACTTTTTGTCATCTAAGAAACAGTGACACACATTTTCTGACAGTTCAGAGACCAAACAAGTCACAGATTCATCCAGAGAATCCGGTTTTTGCAGTAAAAGACAAGAAAAAGCAGCAAATTTGCACATTTGAGAAGCTGTTGACATTTTGCTCTACAATGAATTCAACATTTAACTGTGTAGCTCTGTAATATTTTCTGAATAAAAAATCTTTTCATTTTTCCCACACAAAGAGAAAAACAAAGGCAACACTCATGAGGCTTAAAACGATTTAGAACAAAAAGCTTTTATCATCAAAATGCAGCGTGCAGATCATTTATATGGACCTGAGC